CAATCAAAGCTTCCCTGAACCCTCCAATGCCTGTAATGTATGCTGCCCCAAGCCCTAAACCCTAAACCTCTAAACCCCCAAACCCCTAAACCCCTAAACCCCTAAACCCCTAAACCCTAAACCCATAGCACGTTGCCCTGGATCCGAATCCCGAAACAGTGCAACAAGAGACCTGAGCCCAATGCAGGACCGTTTCTTTGCGGATATTCTTCGGGACCTCCCCAAGGAGCTGGGCTTGTGCTGCGGTGCTGGGCACAAAACGCAGGCTGTGTGCATCTAGAAATGAAGAAAAACAAGCTTCATGGCATCGTGAAGAGTGAATTCTACCGTCGGCAGCCAGCTACGTCTGAAGAGTTGCATGTCCAAAGCTCTACAGTATACACATAGGGCTGCAGCTGCCTAAATCGCAAGTAACCCGTTGTTTAGGAAACTGGAGCCCTAGGCTATGGCCCGTGGTTTAAAGATGCCTTGAGTCTGACCGTTCGGCGTCTTCGTGATGCACTTGCGACAATCATTTCGATGGCATTGGAGGGAGTGTGTCCAAAAGGGCGATTCGAGGTTCAGGGTCTATGTTTTAGGGTTTGAGGTTCCTCGTCCAGGGTTTAGGTTGTTGACGTGATAACCAGGTTCAGGTTTTGGGTTCAGGGTCTGGGGTAATTTGGGCTTCAGGGTTTTAGGCTCGGGGCACAGAGGCTTTGGACCTCAGCAACGAGTGTTCGAAAATGTAAGGCACAGGGTGTTGTGTCGGCATAGTATAGGGGCCTGAATGCATAAAGGTTTAAGCGTTTTGTTTTGGGTTTTGGGAATAGGATTTAGGGTTTTTTTAGGGTTTAGGTCAGGTAGGGTTTAGGGTCCCGGTGAAATCATGGAACCCAATCAGAGCAAAGTAATCTGAAGCTGTGTTTTACCATCACTTCTTGTCCAGCAACGAAATCAAAGTGGCGCTGCTTCAGCAACTGAGAGACGTTGATGTATCAGCTTCAAACCCATCGCCAGGGACATGCTTCTGGGGATTTCTCGTTGACCTGCAGCTCATGAGCTCATAATCTTGCCCCGAGCTATCGAAACATGCCAGCGAGAGGATTGGCCCTATTTGGTGAAGAAGCTGCGCTGGGCGGAAGAGAGGGGCATCTTCACCCAGGTCTACCTCGCCTGTTTAAGGTGTTGGGTGTTCGTATTTAGGCTTGTTACGCGTTAGGGTTGACACAACCCTAAACCCTCAACCCTAAACCCTAAACCCTAAACCCTCAACCCTAAACGAACCCTAATCTTTTGGTGTCGTGTTTTGGGGGTTTGGAGTTTGGGTTTAGGCCTTCGGGGTCCTGGCTTTGGGGTTTTGCGTTTATGAGTTCAGGGTTTAGGGTCTAGGGGTCTGGGTTTAGGATTTGGGTTTGGGGTTTAGGGTTTGAGGTTTTGGTTTTTTAGGCTGTATTGCCATGGGAAACTTTCCGGCGCATCTTCAGTTGTTATGTCAGGCCTCTTTTTTGAAGTACACCCACGTTTCGTGCTGTGCTGGCCATGCCTAAACCCTAAACCCTAAACCCTAAACCCTAAACAGTGTGCTTTGTGAGATTTTCGGTGTTCGTCTCACCAAAGACCCAGAACCATGCACACCGCCCCAAGGATCCATCAATGTATTAAGGGTTTAGGGTTTAGGGTTTAGGGTTTAGGGTTTAGAACAAATAAGTACCGATACTATTTTGGAGGTTCCTTTTTGTAATTATGGTATAATATACCCCACAAACCCTATTCTAATTATTGAGGCCCCGATATTACCCTGTGATCTGTTCGCTGCATCCTAAGCATTTCAACCCAAAAGTCCTTCAGCATAGTAGGAAAAGGGTACCCTTACTATTTAGGGGCTACCGGGGAACCTAGGTTTCAAAACCAGCATTCTAGATCCTAGGCCTGAACCCCAAAACCCCAAATATGCGCATTTCAGACCCTAAATCCCTAAACGCCAAAACCCTGAAAATACAAAACCTTGCAGCCCTAAACCCCTAAGCCCTGACCCCAAAAGCCCTATCGACGCCAAAATCTCGCAAGCATCGCTTTGCACTTCTAGGAGTGCTGGGCCCTACACGAAGCCTCAGGGATTTGGGGTGTCCATCTGGGGGCTTTAGGGGTTTAGGGGCTTAGGGTTTAGGGTTTAGGGTTTAGGGGGTTAGGGTTTTAGGGCTTAGGGGTTTATGGTTAGGGGTTTAGGGTTTAGGGTTTCAATAACTTGCAGCCTCCGGCCTTCATGAGGGTAGTCGTCCCTTTGGGAATCCTTTTCGTAAGGATGCCACACTGTTGTGGGGACCAAAAAGGGAACCAACTTAGACAACTCCATATCAACTTCTCTAGCTGTTCTCATGGTCTCCCCCCTCTCCCATGCTCCTCAGCTCTAGTTCGCGGCTCTTGTACATCCGCATCACCTCCCCGCAGACGCAAGTGTGCGTGTGTGTGTGTGTGTGTGTCGATATCTGAGATTTGATGCCCTGAGTCCTCAACCCGAAATCCCAACTCTCAAACCCTCAAACCCCAAATAATCCTAAACTAAACCCTAAAGTAATCCTAAACCCTAAATTCCCTAAATCCCTAAACCCTAGACCCTAAATATCCTTAGAGCAGCAGCCAGAAGGTTCTCAAACTCTAACACCCTATAAGCCCTAAGCCCTCTAACTCAAAACCCTAAGCCCTAAACCCTCTGAAACTCTAAACCCTATAAGCCCTAAACCCTCTAGCTCTAAGCCCTGTAAGCGCTAAGCCCTCTAAACCCTCAAACTCTAAACCCTCAACCCTAAAGCCACTAAAACTCTAAACCCTAAGCCCTAAACCCTCTAACTCTAAACCCTAAGCCCTAAACCCTCTAAAACTCTAAACCCTAAGCCCTAAAGCCTCTAACCAAAAGCCCTATAAGCCCAAAGTCCTCTGCAGCCTCGAACTCTACATCCGCAGACCTTTCGGCTGGCAAGTTCCCACCTGGCCACAGCCCTTTTGGCGTTGAAGACGCCATGGGGTCTGGGTCCTCCGTTCCGAAGAAGCGGGAGGACCCCCACTAATATAGGGGCCTTCATAATTACCTATAATATATATATATATATATATATATGTATATATATATATATTTATTTATTTATTTATATTTATTTCGATATGTATATATATATATATATAAATACTTTTTTTTTTTGT